GCCAATGTACAATCTTTTTAATTAATGTTTTTTTGCTTCGTTTTCAATATATTTTTTACATTTAACCTACGATTTTTGATTGGTTATCACCTGATCGGAGATTTTCGTAATTTGTATAACGAGGACGGTCACCCCTGTAGGGCTATACGGTAAGGAATAAACATCGTATGTAAATATGTTATGCGTATGCAAGGGCTTTCAAATATGCACGAATGTTACACGAATGTGCAAAACTCTAAAAATTTTTAATGCATAGACAAAGGTTTAGATCTAAATTTATAGTTAAACATTTATTGTTATTGTTTTTTTTAAATTAAAAAACGGACCTATTTAAAGCAATTTTATAATTGGTTTTTAAAATCAAAAAAAAAATTTATTAAAAAATAACAACTTTATAAATAATAGCTTCAAAAAAAAAAACAGTATAAATTTAAATTTAAAAAGAAAAGAGATAAATTAGTTAGGTTTAAAATAAAAAAAAAACAAAAAAATTTATTTATATATAACCATAGGTAAATGTAGCTATATTATCAATATAGTTTTTTTTTTTAAATCTTATAATAAATATAACCTTTAAAGAGCTATACTGCAAAATTTTATTAATACAACTACTTTTAAAGTGAAAATGATTCTAATCTTATTTTAAATTGATTTATGTAAAAAAAATTTCTTTAAAAAAAATTATCAATTTGGACCCTTTTCCACATCTTAAAATATAAAGAATATAAAAATAGATTCTAAAACACCCTATATACGTTTTATATAAATATACTTGTAATAAAAAATAATCTCAAAATTAAAGCTTGGAGCCGATTTTATTTTTTATATTTTAACTGGATTCATCATAAAACAAAACCAGTTTCAAAACTCTATTTAAAGCCTAGTGTAAATTTAAGGATGAAAATCTCATTCCGTGGGCAATGCCCGAGTTTAAGATCGATTGTTAACATAAGATATTAAGTCTATAAACCTGTCGTAACTTACAAACAAGCAGATTATTCTATATATTATATAAATCTATACATATTAGGTTCGGATACGATGAAACAAATTTATTATTATATCCAATGTAAATAAATATAAGTTATTTTCTCGTTATAGAAAGAGTTCAGTATAAAAGATTCAGTCATAACTAAAGTATTTCTATATCGTGATTATTAGACTATTACATAAAATATTACTCGAAATGCTTAATAACGATAGAAAACGATTTTTATAAATGAATAACTTAATGAAAAAAATTCTCATGAATTCACGGTGAATCTTCTAAATGAAAAAAAAAACAAAGCATTATAAGCGTAAATAATCTTACAACTACAGCCTAATTTTTTTTTTTACTGCGCAACTCCAATTTCGCAATCGTCTTTCTGTTTAGCGCATTCATCTTCCTTTTCATCTCTATCATCTTTATCATACCCATTCTCTCCACCTTCACAAGTTTCTCCAACCCTTACATCTTCTTCATCATAATCATCCTCCTCATTATAGTCTTCATCGTCGTCATCATAAACAACAGATTTAGCATTTGTTATAAAATCTTTAATTTTTTCTAAATCCTTTTCTCCATCAGTTTCAACACCGCTAGATACGTCAACAGCCCAAGGTTTAACTTTTTCGATAGCTTCAATTACATTTAATGGCGTCAATCCTCCCGCTAAAATTAACGGAAACCCATTTTTTCCACCAACTCGTTTTTTCGATACACTTTCTTTAACTTTTAATGCTATACTCCAGTCAAATGGTTTACCTGCCCCTCCTTGATGTTTATGTTTCTTATTCTCATCAGTCTCCTCTTCTTTATTTTCTTCTTTATCGTTAGAAACCAATGGAACTTTTGTATCCAATAAACATAGAGCATTATATCCAGGTTGAGTTACAAGTATAGGATTTGTGAATTCATCGTCGATATGAAATGCTTTGATAACTGGCACCGGCAGAAATTTTGCCATATCTAATGGTTCATCGCCATGTAATTGAACTAAATCCAATTTCAAAAAATCCAAAATGGTTGTAATATATTCTAATGATTGGTTTTGAAATACCCCTACTAATAATGGTTTACGCGAATTATTAACTATTCTTGATGCTTGCAATTTAAACCAATCATTGTTTCCTGATAATTTGATCACATCTTCTTGAGATTGTTCGGGTAGTTCAATTTTATCATGTGCTCTTTCTGATTGAAGTTCTCGAATAATCGTCACTATTTCTAAAGCTTGATCAATTTGAACTTGTCTTCTACTTTTCGCAAATATGAGACCAATAAAGTCTGCACCTGCATCTGCTGCAGCTATTGCAGCATCAACCGTTGACACACCACATATTTTAACCAAAGGACTTGGTGGCGCTTTAACTTTAACAGTCGGTTTTGGTGGTTCTTCTAGTGCTAGAAGTTCATGTATAAACGCTCTTTTATTTTTTGCCTTCATTAATGCTTCTCCGATCAATAATGCTTTAACACCCTGTTCAAGGTATGCGACCACATCATCTCGACCGGTTATCCCACTTAACGCAGCCAAAATAACTCCCTCAGGCACCATTTCCGCTAACATGGAGGTTGTATTCATGTCCACATCGAAAGTATGAAGATTTCGATTGTTGACTCCAATTACTTTTGCACCTAATTTTACGGCTCTTTCCATTTCTTCTCGATTATTAACTTCGACTAAAGGTTCCATACCAAGATGTTTAGAAAATTTATATAATTTTGTAAGTTGTTCATCAGTTAATAAAGCAACTATCAATAAAATGGTATCAGCTCCATAAAGTCGTGCTTCCATAATTTGATAAGTATCCACGATGAAATCTTTACGTAAAACAGCTGGACGATTTGGAATAGTTGCCAATACATCACGAACTTGTCGCATATCATTCAAACTACCCTTGAACCATTTAGATTCGGTTAATACAGAAATCACCGAAGCACCAGCTTTTGCATACCTTAAAGCTTGTTCTGCGGCATTAACTGATAGATCAATGTTGCCTTTACTAGGTGAGGCACGTTTAACTTCGGCAAATATGGCAGGATATTTAGGTAATGTTTGCTTAATTCTAGATACAAAATCAATTAATGGATGTGTAACATGAAGGGATAATAATTTTTCATAATCGTGAGGTGAAGAACCCGGTTGTTTTTTAGCAATTCCAATATCAGCTAATCTTTGATTGCATATTTTTTCCAAAATTGAAGGAATAGATTTCGCTTGTACAAAAGTTTTAGCTAATGGAGCTTTTACACCAAATTCAGGATTATCTTCCCATTTTCCACCCTGAATTTTCAAGAAATTTCCAAGTAGCTTTTTACCATGATCACCACTAAGAACACTTTCAGGATGAAATTGAATACCTTCAATTGTGAATTCACGATGTCTTACACCCATTATAACATTAGTTTCACTCCAACTTGTAATTTCCAATTCGTCAGGAATTGTTGGAGGTTGAGCAGCCAAAGAATGATAACGAGTCGCGGAAATTTCATTTGGTAGATCAATATAAACACCTTTACCATCATGTTTTATAGTTGAGGTTTTCCCATGAACAATTTCGCCAGCGTATTCAACTTTACCACCGAATACTTCTACGATACATTGTTCACCAAGACAAACACCTAATATTGGAACATGCCCAGCAAAAAGTGAAATAACATCACGAGAAATTCCTACATTGGATGATGGACCACCCGGACCAGGAGAAATTATTATATTTTTCGGATTAAGCTCTTCGATCTGTTCGATAGTAATTTGATCATTTCTGAAAACTTGAACCTCGGCACCGAGTTCTGAAAGGTATTGATAAATATTCCATGTGAATGAATCATAATTATCAATTAGAATTGTGAGAGTAGAATTTGTTGGTGCAATAATTGGTGATGACATTTTTAGCTTTAATGATAATTTATATAAATTTTCGTCGGAAATTCCTTTAAAACATCAAACATCGAAAAGGGTTAGCGTTGTTCTGCTTAACAATTTATTGGGTTTTCTGAAACTTGATTTGTAATACATAATCTAAAAATTTTTTTTTAAAAAATTCCCGATTGGGCTCCTCCTAATCTTACAAATGTTGTACAAATACTGAAACCCCCATAAAAATGGGGACATGTTCTGAATTTTTTGTCAGTATACTAACGCTAGGGGGTGTTCAATTAATAGTAGATTTTTTTTACCAAGTTCAAGTAGTAAGAAGACATTTATTTGATTGGCATGACCATTAGCCAATAAAATTACAGGTTTAATGAATTAATCAAAAAAAGGTTTACTGAATAAATTAAAAAAAAAAATTTTTTAATGAATACGAATATACAACTTATCACAATCGCATCGATTTGCTTTTTATGCATGCATTTAATTAATAACTCTGTCTTCTAGCCTAGTTGCCTTTATCAAAGACACGTTGCTATCTATTTAGCTATAAGTGGCTTTGACAGTAATTCTTATTAAATGTTACATTTCCAAAAAGTATTTTAAAGTCGCAAATAAGGCACATCAGTATCAGACGAATGTCTACATATGAAGTAGCAGGCTATGAATTAGTGATGCAAACGAATTGTCACAGTGAGCTACAACGGCACTTGGCAAGTTACGGTTACGGATGCGACAAAACCTTATCAGTTATCGATATATACTGTAATTTAAATGTTCCATGATGCCATACTGTAACTATAATTAACATTGCTTAGCATTCAAGGACAACTTATTTAATCCGAATTAAAATTCTTTATATGGGCTGCCGTCAATAGAAATCAGGCAGATTGACATTTTTAAAAAAATCTAGACCTCAACTTTTACAGCTAATATCTCGATGAATTTTGAAGCTAGTTTGATAATTTAATTAAGTTCTAAGCTTTCTTATGAATATTGAATCATTGAGATACAGTAGCTTCAAAATTCATCGAGGTATGAGCTGTGAAAGTTGAGGTATAGATTTTTTTTAAAATGTCAATCTGCCTGATTTCTATTGACGGCAGCCCATAT